CTTGCCAGTCATATGAGGCGACTGGCAAGTTTTAACAATGAACACCAGCGGTACTTCATTCGCCCCGACAGCATGCTCGCGAAAATCCACAACCATATCGTCTATGCCCCGTTGTTCCGTACACGCCACAACCGCGAGTTCCAGCTCTCCCGAGCTGTCAACATGGGCACGCTGCCCAGTCGGTTTCACTCCTTCATCGTGGTGGGCATTATCGTTATGAACGTCGTCCTTTGCGTTGTCACCGTACCCTATGGGACCGAGGAGTCCACGGTTGCGGGCCTGATCCGCAACCGCACCGGAACCATGGCGACAGTAAACCTTATCCCGGTGGTGCTCATGGCCGGCAGGAACAACCCCCTGATCACCCTGCTTCAAGTGCCGTTTGACACCTTCAATCTGATTCACCGCTGGCTCGCTCGCATTGTCGTCTTGGAGGCAATCGCCCATGTGTTTGCTTTCGCGATCCCGGAGGCTCAGGAAGGTATGTAGTTGCAACCCATGTCGGATTATGGTCCATATGTGCTAATAATTGTATAGCCGGCTGGAGTCTTGTTGGAATGCTTTTCGGAGAGAGCAGCTTCATGCTGAGTGGATTGATCGTAAGCATTTTATGAAAGACCCAGCTTGAATTTGACTAACCTGACTGTTAGGCTGGCTGCGCCTTCACTGCTCTTCTTGTGCACTCACCCTCCCCCATCCGCCATGCATTCTACGAGACCTTCCTCCACTTCCACATCGCGTTCGTTGCGCTTTCGTTCGCCTTCCTGTGGATACACTTGGATGGCCTGGTGTCTCAGAACTACCTCCTCGCCGCCATCATCCTCTGGGCTCTCGAGGTAAGCCTCCATGATCCTATTGAAGAATGAGACAGGATTAACCATGGTTATAGAGAGCCGCCCGAATCCTCATCATTGTGTACCGTAACTGCGGAAGGGAGTGCACGACAGCGCATGTCGAGACCCTCCCGGGCGATGCCCTGCGAATCACCCTGAAGATGGCACGGCCGTGGACCTTCAAGCCTGGCCAACACATGTACTTGTACATCCCATCCATTGGTTTCTGGATGAGCCACCCCTTCTCCGTCGGGTGGAGCGAAGCCGAAGAAATCCCCGCAAGCGAAAAAGGCATCCCTATGACCCAACAAGACCTTGCGAGTCTCCAGAAGACCACCGTCTCCTTGCTGATTCGTCGCCGCACTGGGTTCACCGACAAACTCTTTAAGCGTGCTCAAAACTCTCCCAGTGGACGGATTTCCTTGCGGGCGTTCGCAGAAGGCCCGTACGGCAGCATCCACACCATGGACTCCTACGGCACGGTCATGCTCTTTGCAGGCGGTGTCGGCATCACACATCAAGTACCATTCGTGCGGCATCTCGTCCAGGGCTTTGCCGAAGGGACCGTGGCGGCCCGTCGCGTTACCCTGGTCTGGATCATCCAGTCCCCCGAACACCTCGAGTGGATCCGGCCCTGGATGACCAGCATTCTGGCGATGGACCGCCGTCGCGAAGTCCTTCGGATCATGCTGTTCATCACCCGCCCGCGTAACACCAAGGAGATCCAGAGCCCCAGCACCACCGTTCAAATGTTCCCGGGTCGTCCTAACGTTGACACGCTGATCAACATGGAGGTCGAGAACCAGGTTGGAGCGATGGGAGTGCTGGTATGTGGAAACGGAAGCCTGAGCGATGATGTTCGACGGGTGTGCCGCAAGAGACAGGACCAAACGCAAGTGGATTTCATCGAGGAGAGTTTTACCTGGTAAGACTGGTGGACAGCCGCCTGCCTTTAAGTGAATGTTCAATGGAGGGCTGCTGCTCACTTGGCCCCCATTTGTGTCTCAGCACATCCACGCTTGGCAGCCATGTCCCTCAATTATCTACAGCCTATGGGCTAGTACCTGTGTGTTGGATCCTCTCGGTGTTTTCGGTTGCTATTGGTTTATACTTTTGTAGCTTGGGTAGTATATATAGTTGTTCCTTTTTATGCGTGGCTCTGAAGCTTGCGATTGCACATAACAATCAGGTTTTGCATAACTTTGTGCTTATTTGTGGAAACTTGTTTTTTTGTAAGCCATTGAAGCTAAACACTAGTACATTGCATTGCATGCTTACACGATCCTTTCTGTTCCCGGCCAGCTTCAATCTTCCAACCCATTAGGACTACTGGGCAGCAGTCAGTACCCATAATAGCGATCGATGTATGCATCCCGGCATCAGCAACACTGCAACACATTACTAACCCGCACCTACAAAGTAACATCTAAACCCCTGTACTTAATTCCGCCAACTACTAATCACGCAATCCCCAGTAACTAAATAAATTAACCGTACAGTAAGCCGGCATAATCCTAGTACGGCATCCCCGCCCGCTGAAAATAAATCCCCGATAGAAACAGCCGGATGCTTTTTCTGCAGCTTAGAAATCAAACCTCAAGCTCAAGTGGGGCTTACTGATGAATCAGCCGAAAATGGCATCATCATGTTTCCTAAAGTTAACTGTTACCCCCCATGAACTAACTAACTAACGTAGCTGTTCAATTGCATTAATCATCGTGTAGTAGTTATTTGGTCGGTCATGAGCGGGGTTCGTGTAGGATCCAGAGGCCTATTTAATGCCCGTTGTCTTCGTCGTCGCATTGCATCTTCTTTTGTATCATCATCACCACCTATTTACTTGAACTCAATTTTCTGTTCACGGATCCCTTCTTCTACTTCTTCTTCTTCTTCTCTGTATAGTACAGCTACAGCTGCAGCTACCACAATGAGCCGTCCCGACATCACCCTCTACACAGCGCAGACTCCCAATGGAATTAAGATTTCCATTGCGCTGGAGGAGCTTGGGTATGCCGTTATCTTCATAGGATAATTTAGCAATCAACTAACCGATAATCCAGTCTCCCTTACAAAGTCGAGAAGATCGATATCACCAAGAACACCCAGAAAGAGCCGTACGCTACCTACTCCATACCTCAACAAAAAAAATACCACCCTTTCCCCCAAACACCACTAACACCCATCCAGATGGTTCCTCGAAATCAACCCCAACGGCCGCATCCCCGCCCTGACCGACACCTTCACTGACGGATCCAAGATCCGCCTCTTCGAATCCGGCAGCATCCTCACCTACCTCGCAGAACAATACGACAAAGACCACAAGATCTCCTACCCGCAGGGCACCCGCGAATACTACGAACAGAACAGCTGGCTCTACTTCCAGAACGCCGGTGTCGGGCCCATGCAAGGCCAAGCGAACCACTTCCACCGGTACGCGCCCGAGCGCATCGAGTACGGCGTGAACCGCTACATCAACGAGACGAGACGGCTATACAGCGTGCTGGATGCGCACCTCGCCAAGTCCAAGTCCGGGTATCTTGTTGGTGATCACGTCAGTATTGCGGATATCTCGCATTGGGGATGGGTTGCTGCGGCCGGGTGGGCGGGAGTCGATATTGAGGAGTTTCCGAATCTCAAGGCGTGGGAGGAGCGCATGGCTGCTAGGGAGGGCGTCGAGAAGGGGAGACATGTGCCGAGTCCGCATACTATTAAGGAGGTTTTGAAGGATAAGGCCAAGGCGGAGAAGATTGCGCAGGAGTCGAAGGGGTGGATTCAGCAGGGAATGAAGGCGGATGCTAAGCATTAGTTGTTAGCTAGTATGTTTTAGTGATGATGTATATGATTGTTTGATTTTGCAATGATAAAGTTGTGAGTTGGTATTGATGCGAAAGTGCATAACTTACTTACTTAGCTACTGTTCTGTTCTGCTTCCCGCTTAGTCATCACCACGTGCCGGCCTAAAAGCCTTGCCACATCTCCCTCCCCAGCTTCTCTCGTCGCATCGCATCGCCGTCCTCTCGTCAAGGATCCTGCGAAGAAAGAAAGAAAGAAGAATATCTCTTTTTTGCTCGTATATCGGTCACATTAACAGCAGGGATAAATAGTCGTTCATCATGGCCTGGCGCAACCAGGGAATCACCGGGTCCAATAACATCCCTCTGGGCCGGAGACGGTTTGGAGGTGAGGAGGGCCCGGAGGATGAGAGTCGCACCGCGACGCCTGCTTCTATGCCTGGTGCTGGTGATTCGGCCTACAAGCGTGGCCGCAGCCCTGTCCGAGGTGAGTGCATAAACTATAACCGTCTTTCAATATTAAACAGCTGCTGATGCTATGATTAGCTGAACCCCCCGCCGACGGCGTCAAGAAGCGCAAGAAGCGTAACCGTTGGGGCGATGCGCAGGAAAACAAGGCTGCCGGTCTCATGGGTCTGCCGACCATGATTATGGCTAATTTCACCAATGAACAGCTGGAAGCGTATACCCTGCATTTGCGAATTGAGGAGATTAGCCAGAAGCTGAGGATTAATGATGTTGTGCCGGCTGATGGGGATAGGTTCGTCTCTCCTTCCCGTTGATGGCTGCTGCGCCCTTCCGGAAATCATGCTAACGGTTTTAGATCTCCCTCTCCCCCTCCTCAGTACGATAACTTTGGCAGACGTGTAAACACTAGGGAATACCGCTACCGGAAGCGTCTCGAGGATGAGCGCCACAAACTCGTCGAAAAGGCGATGAAGACTATTCCTAACTACCACCCGCCTTCTGACTACAGACGTCCTACTAAGACCCAGGAGAAGGTCTATGTGCCTGTGAATGACTATCCAGAGATTAACTTCAGTATGATAACTAACCCTCTAACTCCTAACCATTGCTGTATTTGTACTCTCCTGCACTCCTTGACTCTGCTGTGCTCGAGTCGGGCTTCTGATGAAGACTTCGCCGCCGGGCGTTGTTTATCTCCAGCTCGCTTCTTGCGAACCCTTGCTCTACCTGTTCTTTTGCTCCCACTTGCACCATTTTGCTCACACTCACCCGCCTGAAAGTACTTAAAACAGCTTGCACTAACACTTAGCTTTTTGCTATCTTTTAAAGTTGGCTTACTCATAGGACCTCGTGGTAATACCCTGAAGAAGATGGAGTCGGAGTCTGGTGCCAAGATTGCCATTCGTGGTAAAGGCTCCGTCAAGGAAGGAAAGGGTCGCTCTGATGCCGCTCATGCCAGCAACCAGGAAGAAGATCTTCACTGTTTGATTATGGCGGATACTGAGGAGAAGGTTAACAAGGCGAAGAAGTTGGTGCATAATGTCATTGAGACGGTATGTACCCCAAAGATGTTGTACAATGAAGTCCAGGTACTAATGGACACAGGCTGCTTCGATCCCCGAGGGTCAGAACGAGCTCAAGAGGAATCAGCTCCGAGAGCTGGCTGCACTCAACGGTACTCTCCGTGACGACGAGAACCAGGCTTGCCAGAACTGTACGTGCCCTTCATAATCTACTTAAGAATTATAGCTAACAAACACAGGTGGTCAAATCGGACACCGCAAGTACGACTGTCCTGAGCAGCGTAACTTCACCGCCAATATCATCTGTCGCGTCTGTGGTAACGCTGGTCACATGGCCCGTGATTGCCCCGACCGTCAGCGCGGCTCTGACTGGCGCAACAACAACGGTGGCTTCGGCGGCCGCAGGGCCATTGGCGGCGGTGATGCTGTCGACCGTGAGATGGAGGTATGTTCCCGCACATTCTTTTTCCAAGTACCCAGTACATAGTACTAACATCCTTCAGCAACTCATGCAAGAATTGTCTGGTGGCGCGCCCGGCGAAGACGGCCATGTCCCTCGTCGGATCGAGGCTGGCCCCGATCAAGGTTATGATGACCGCGACGTGAAGCCATGGCAGCGCGGACCTCCGCCCAGTGACGTGGCTCCCTGGCAGCAACGAGGCCGCGACCGCCGTGACGACTACGGCTCCCGCGACCACGGCAGTGCGCCTCCATGGGCTGCACAGGGCCGTGGTGGTGGCGGTGGCGGCGACTATGGCTATGGCTCACTCGGTGGTTATGGTGCACCTGGAGCTGCTGCTGCCTCCGCTGCTGCTCCTTGGCAACAGGCTGCTCCCCCGCCGCCCCCTGGCGGACAAGCATCGTACGGATACGGAGCTTATCCTGCGTACCCCGGCATGGGTGCCCCTGGCGCTCCTCCGGGTCTGAGTGTTCCTCCTCCGCCGCCGGGCATGCCATCGATGTACTACGGCTCTGGCAGCCCACCCCCTCCGCCTCCTGGCGAGGGTCCCCCGCCTCCGGTATGTTTGCTATCTATATGACTGAATGTACTACCGCTTACTGACATGATGATGCAGCCGCCTAGTGACCAGCCTCCCCCGCCTCCCCCTCCCGCTTAGGGGAGATGCGACATAAAAGTGGTTAATGTTGATGCGAACGATAGCTAGGGACACCGGTAGAAGAATCCGGCCCGGGTAAATTGATAGTGCACGTAGGACACTGGCGATGATAGTTTTTAACAACTCTCTCTGTGTAATAGTTAGGTAGTCCAGCATCAAGCGTTCTGCTGTAATTGTTTGCTTCCACTTTCTAATAATCATAGAATTAGTTTGCAGGGGGGGTACATCAATCCGTCTGCAAAATGTACGCATGGCTGCCCGTCGGCAAAGAAAAAAGTCGCTCGCTCGCTAAAGCCAATGACGTTAGGCACTAACTAGCATGGTCGCTACCGCGTAGAAACATGACTAGCAGTATCCGTAGATAAAGACAAGACCCGCCATAATAGTTGTATTTCTCGAGGTCCCCCAATTCTTATTAGACTAGAGAGTAATGGTTTATATTCCATCCACTTCGCTTTGTCTAGAAATCACCACCTTCGTGAGCTTTCCGCAACCGTCGCCCGCCGGGATTTCAGTCTAGCTAGCAAGCTACGTAGCTTGGTACTAACTAGCCGGCCGTTTCTCCACACTTTTTTCCCTTCTTCTCATTCCTCGAACCTAACTTTCCCCGGATCAAGTTAACCAGTTAAGATTCCGGCTGAGAGACTTTTTTTTCCCCCTCTCCCGCCGGGGCAGCTGTGAGAGAGCTTACTAGGCTCTTTACGTATACTTACTTACTCATTATTATTGTTATCTTGTAGTATTTGAGGGATAGCCGAGTTCTAAATAGAACCATGCAGGCTCCATCTGCCTCCACCTCAGGCTCCCACAGCGGCGGCAGCGGAGGAGGAGGAGTACTAGGAGGAGGAGGGGGAGGAGACACCCTCGCACCGTCGTCTTCGCATTCGCGCCGGCCGTGGCAGTCGCAGCAGTCGCAATCGCAACATCTCCGCCCGGCGATGACGACGACGGCGAGCAGTATTCGCTCTCAGCACAGTACACACAACAGCCATCATGAACATACTACCAGGTATCAGTCTTCCACGGGGAGTGGAATTGGTAATGCTGGGGAGAAAGAAGGAGGAGAAGAGAAATGGTACAAAATCCATCTCTTCCGCGGCATGATTCAGGATGTTAAGCGCCGTGCTCCGTTCTATTGGAGTGATTGGACTGATGCGTGGGATTATCGCGTTGTGCCCGCCACGGTGTATATGTATTTTGCTAAGTGGGTTCAATCCTCTTCTTTTTCTTCTTCATTTTTTCTTGTCTGGTGATGTTGTTGTGGTGCTGATTGTGTTGTGTTGTGTCGTGTAGTATTCTTCCTGCGCTGGCTTTCTCGTTGGATATGTTTGAGAAAACCAACCAGAGTTATGGCGTTAATGAGGTCTTGCTGGCGAGTGTGTTGGCTGCGGTGGTGTTTTCGGTCTTTGCGGCTCAGCCGTTGGTTATTGTGGGTGTTACTGGTATGTTTTTTGCTTTCTCGATCTCTTTTCTTCTTTTGTTTCTGAGCTGTTGTTGATCTGGTGGTGGTGGGATAGGACCTATTACTGTGTTTAATTACACGGTTTATGATATCATCTCCCCCCGGGGAACGAATTATTTGGCGTTTATGTGCTGGATTGGGATGTGAGTCTTCTTGCAGTTCTTATTCAGGCAGCTCGTGTGCTGATGATTGTAGATGGTCGTTGATCATGCATTGGCTGCTTGCCATTACCAATGCTTGTAATGGTCTCACTTATGTCACCCGTTTCTCGTGCGATATCTTCGGTTTCTATGTCGCCTTTATCTACCTCCAGAAGGGTATCCAAGTCCTCACTAGGCAGTGGGGAACCGCTGGTGAGACTTCCGCATACCTCAGTATCATGGTCGCCTTGCTAGTGCTTATGAGCGGCTGGATCTGTGGCGAGCTTGGTAATAGCAGTCTCTTCAAACGGTGGATTCGCAAGTTTCTGGAGGATTATGGCACGCCCTTGACCATTGTGTTCTTTACTGGGTTTGTTCATATCGGCCATATGAGGGACGTCGAGGTGGCGAGACTGCCCACTAGCAAGGCATTTTTCCCGACAGAAGAACGCCCGTGGCTGGTTCATTTCTGGGATATCAATGTCGGCGATGTTTTCCTTGCTATTCCGTTTGCGGTGCTGTTGACGATTCTATTCTATTTTGATCATAATGGTAAGTCAACATACAAGATCGCAAATGGTCAACTAAGTAACTGACCAAATAGTCTCGTCTCTCATCGCCCAAGGAACCGAGTTTCCTCTGCGCAAGCCAGCCGGCTTCCACTGGGACCTCTGGCTACTCGGAATCACCACCTTCGTGGCCGGTCTCCTGGGTATCCCCTTCCCCAACGGTCTCATCCCCCAAGCACCCTTCCACACGGCCGCTCTCTGCGTCACCCGCGACGTCGCCGACGAAGACGACACCAACAAAGGCAAAGCCATCCGCGTCACCGACCACGTCGTCGAACAACGCGTCAGCAACTTCGCCCAAGGCCTCATGACCCTCGGCACCATGACCGGCCCTCTGCTCATTGTTCTGCACCTGATCCCCCAAGCCGTCCTGGCCGGCCTCTTCTTCATCATGGGCGTCCAAGCCCTCCAAGGCAACGGCATCACCCAGAAACTCATCTTCCTCGCACAAGACAGCGGTCTCACGCCAGCATCCAACCCGCTCAAGCGCATTAAACGCCGTCTCTCCATCTGGGTGTTCGTTATCCTGGAGCTGATCGGCTTCGGCGCCACTTTTGCCATTACACAGACTATTGCTGCCATCGGTTTCCCGGTTATTATCCTGCTGCTTATCCCCGTCCGCTCGTTCTTGTTCCCCTGGTGGTTTACACAGGAGGAATTGTCCATTCTGGATGCCCCGACTGCTAGTCCATTCACTATGGAGAGTGTGGGCGGGACGCATGGGCTGAGTGACGCTGCTGCTGCTGCTGCTTCAGGTCGGGATGATGATCGTCGTGATTCGAAGAATGGGGGTGGTGGTGATGGGGTTATGATGCGGAGGGATGAGAGCTCGTCGGAGTCGGCTGTTGAGGATGATTTGGAGCGAGGTGAGGCGTATGAGATGCAGAGGTTGGGTGTAAGGCGGAGGAGTACGACTGGTGGGGTGGAGTAGGTGTATTTTCCCATGAGGGAAAGCGCTGCAGTGCAGGTGATGGGCTAAAAGTATATAATGGTTTTGATTTTGGAGATATATAATGGTGAGATGATAGATAGTCTAGTATATAATTCAAGATGCATCAAGTGCAGTATTTCGGGTTGATGATATTTTCGATTGCTTACTAGGGTATAGATTGAAGCCCACTCTTAAGCGTCACTGTTCATTCCCAGGTAAGATTGTCCGTTTTCCACCTCTTTACCCACCCTTTTTCCTTACATGAGAAACGTTCATCTACATCGAATGGGTGTAGACTTACTCAACTAGCTGCCCGTGGAATGTAACCTTGAAGTAGCCATCATATGATATCAACTTAATATAGACGCACTCTTTAGGAATCGTATCTACGCACTGTATTACCTACCTACGTATCTTTCCTAATCTACCAATGCTTAGTAGGTATATAATGGGGCAAAATGAGCGACAGTCAACTTGATAGAAGGACACATTTGCCTATTTGGGCTGGTTCTCTCCTCCTAGGGTCTGGTCGTGGCCCAGAAGCTATGCCATGCGTGCTAGTATAGGTTGGTCAAATGATATGAATGGCATTGCTTGAGGCCGGGGACTGTGGCTTAGATACAACTAGGTCGATGGGCTCGTCGCTTTGGGATTGCGCTAGCTGGTCTCTGAGGAAAGTTAATTGTGTATGCTATGCCATAGTGTTTTATTTGTGGGATACCGTTTCTAGCTTTATTTCGCAATTCAGGGACTCTCCTTTTTTGTCTGGTAAAGCAGATGTTGAGGGGTCCCGTTGAGCTTGTTTTTTGGTGTTTTGATATTGATGTGCATTGAGGGGGGTTTCTTCTTATGCGGACTCTTCGCCAATGAGTGGTTCAGTTCATGAAGTACATTTGTAGGATAGCCAAGAATATCATTCTTGAAGGTCGGTGGCAATCGACTGCGTGGTGAGAAGCATGTTGATTCAACCTCTTCTTGCTCGCTTATGTTCCTCGGTATATTTTTAATTTTCGGTTCCACCACTACAGCAATAGGGTATATTTGCGTTCGTCCATCGGTATTGGTATTAGATCTCTCGATTTCCCTTTCTGCTTGTGGCGTCTCGATCGTTCTCTGCGTCAAGGTGGTCCCGAATACGTAAACCGTAGCTGTCCAATTTGATATGAAGGATCAAGGATCGTCATTTTATCTGAGCTCTCCAAATTCGTTAGCTTGCAGTTCAATAGCACATTTCCAAGCAAATTGAAAGGAAGCCCACCAGGTGCTGGAAATGAACTAGATATGAAGTATCACCTCTGATCATTCTTCGTTCCAATTGGTAGCAATCCAACTATTGTAGCACTCTCTTCCATTTCACAATTGAAATGATACTGTGCGCAATCCCGCGCAATCCCCGTCAAGTAGATACAGCGTAGATCGTCTGAGCAATCTGACGCCATCCAGATTGACCTTACTGTCGCTTCTCCATCGACTCAGGCCTCAGTTTGTAAACACGACAAACAAGGAAGGCGCGATCAATCCCACGCTGCTCTCCTCTGCCTCGCTCCTTCCTCATCTAGATCTTAACACGCGTTGTTGCCCCTTCAACTCGCCATCGACGTGTTTCCGCTCTCTCTTTCTGTTTCTTCCTTATCTTCTCATCCTCCTATACCTCTCTGTATCCTCACATCTGATTTCATCTTCTCTTATCCGACTTAGTCCTTTTCGTGGGCGTCAAGGTATAAAAGGCCTCTTCTCTCTTCCTCTTCCTCTTCTTCCTTCTTCCTCCCCAACCTACTCCGATCTCTTGAGCGCTCATCCCCTCCGTTACTTCCTTTGATCATTGACCATCAGCACACACAGCCCAAAAACCCCCAAGAAATACAATAAACAACAAAAATCTCCCGGCATTGTCGCAGCCATGCAGGCGAGCAAAGGTGTGCCGCTTTCGGACCCGGCGTTGGACCGGCCGAGATTGAAAACAGACATGTGCAAGAACGTGGACTTGCCAATGTCTGCGTTTGCGATTAACCACTTGGTAAGTTCAGGCCTCTGTTTGCATTCCCTCGATTCGTTCAATATGCATCATGTGGTGTAATGCACTGGCGTTCCTGTCACCGCCGTCGGCCGCGTCGTACGGCGTATTCCCTTGGTCTTTTCACCGTCCTTCTTTATACGTGCTGGGAATCTCCGGGATATTCCCTTCCTCCGACCCATTACCTTCTCCCCTGCTTCCAAATCTAAAGGGACTTGCCGGTCTATTTACTCTGTACAACCCATTTGGAAGGACATCACCTGCAGGAAGTCGCCTATTCACCCCATTTCATTGGGCAAACGCCTCCTGCTACCACTATCATGCCGGGATTCACCTTTCCACTATTCCTTCCATGTAGGAAGTTGACTTCCATATTCCTATTTCACTGGCTCTATTGCTTCACAATATGTGGGAATGTCCGTTTCTCGACAGGAATATAAATATCCCCTTGATCTCTCTCCCAGGGTTTCTTCTTCTTCCTTCTCCATCACCCTATTCTACTTTCATATCCACTCGTGTGCTTCCTTTACAATCCATTCTCGTTTATCGCTTTTTCTTTTCGTTTTTACACTTTCAAAGCGATTATCTTGCATTACACCTGCATTCGTCATGGACAACATTGAAGCCATCAATAAACTCCCAGGGGGTCTCCGTCACTTGAGAATTCGTACTGATGAGGAGTTCCAAAAGTACTCTGTACCAGTGGAGACTGTCCCCCGTCCAGGTTTCAATACAACCGGAAAAGAAGTCGAGCTTTCGCTCAATGCCTACCCCATTACGAAGTTCCCAAGCCGAACCGTTTATCAGTACGATGTAGGTTGCGCCCCAGATGAATCACTTCTCTATTGCTAACCTTTATAGGTTCACATCGGCACCGGACTGGAGAAGTTCATTGTCAATAAGAAGGTGTGGAATTCCAGGGCTCGAAGGGCGGCTTTGAAGAGCATTGTCTATGATGGCTCGAAGCTTGCATGGTAGGTAGACCACCGAGTATCTTACAGGGCACTGCTTATGTTACAACCAGGTCGATGAACCTCTACAAAACCGAATTCAATGAGGAAATCAATCTTGACGTTGAAGAGGGTCGGCCCGTGAGGAAAGGCATAGAGAAGGACAAGAATACCTTCCGTCTGCTTGTCCGGCATACCAGAACAGTCAACCTGGCCGTGTTGAATGCTTGGCTCTCTGGTCAGGCGTCCTTCGACGATGGAGTGCTGGAGGCGATGAGTAAGTACCCACTCTTTTCCCTGATGTTATTAGAGACTGACCGACAATCCCCAGATTTCCTTGACCATGTTCTCAGAGAACACCCCAGCTCACAGCTTTTGGCCATCAAACGTTCCTTTTTCGATGAAAATGGCGGGAAGGGAGAGCTGGGAGGGGGCGTCATTGCTCTTAAGGGAATGTATCAATCCATTCGGCCTGCCATCGTGAGACTGCCCTTATTCTACCTTACCCCGGTCTTTGATCTAACTGTTATCTCAGGGTGGTAGACTTATTGTCAATGTCGACGTCTCAAATACATGCTTTTGGGCCCGTATTAGCCTGACAGGCGCGGCACTGGAGATTTGTGACGCCAGAGACCACCAGCATCTATGCCATCTGCTTAGGCCCAAACCGGATGGATATGGCGGAGTTACTGAATCGGAACTTTTCCAAGAAGTCAGTAGACGGCTCCGAAAGCTCGTTGTGGCTCCATTCTACGGAGGATGCCCAGTCCTGGGAGTCCGGTTCACTGTCAAGGGGCTTATTAACGGCAACGCGCGCCAGTACATGGTTGACATAAAGGACAAGGCTACCGGCAAGATTAACCGGATGAGCGTCGAGCAGTACTTCAAGACCAAGTACAACCTGGTCCTCAACGACTGGGCACTTCCCATGGTAGAGATGACCAAGAAAGATGTGGTCTACCCTATGGAGGTCTTGACCATCCAGGGTCTCCAGCGCTTTCCTTTTAAGTTGAATGAAACCCAGACAGCTCAAATGATCAAATATGCGGCGTCTCGTCCGAAAGACAGGCTCGAGACAATTCTCACTTCTAAGAGAACACTTGCCCACGACCAAGACCCTGTCCTTAACAACTTTGGGCTTAAGATCAGCAATACCATGATGAAGACCAAGGCTCGGCTTCTACCAAGTCCCGCCGTCATGTTCGGCAACAACCAGCGCATCGAGCCTGGTGTTAGTGGCCGCTGGGATCTCCGCGGAAAGAAGTTCTACACAGCAAATCCACAGCCCCTTCAAGCATGGGGGATTGGCTATTTCCCTGGAAGACGCAACGTTATCAGTAACGACCAGGTAGTCAGATTCGCCGACAACTTTATGAAGACCTATGCTGGACATGGAGGCACAATTACCCGCCGTCCTGTGATCATCGAGCTCAAAGAAGACATCGGTGAAGCGATCAAAAAGCTTTATGAGGGCGCCGGAAAGGCAAATCAAGAGGACCCCCAGTTGCTTCTTGTCATCGTCCCGGATAAGAATTCCTTCACCTATACCCGTATCAAGAAGTCGTGTGACTGCCGCTGGGGCGTGCCTTCTCAGGTCCTACAGGCGGGTCATGTCAACAGGGGTAATCCCCAATATGTTTCCAATGTCCTCATGAAGGTGAACGCTAAGCTTGGAGGTGTCACAAGTCGAGCTGTATCAAAGGTGCAAGGAGCGACCTTGCGTCCAGGCTCAATGATTATTGGCGCTGACGTGACTCATCCTCCCATGGGTGTCTGGTCACCCTCAATGGCGGCAGTTTCCGTGTCCAAGGATCCCTATGGTAGCAGCTACTTCGGTGCTTGCGAAGCAAACATGGATCGTATAGAGATCATCTCGCGGACCAGTATGGAGTTTATGCTCGCCCCTCTTGTTCGTGAATGGATAACCACTATCGGACAGGGACGCGCGCCTAAGTACGTTTACTACTTCCGTGATGGTGTTTCTTCCGGTCAGTTCGAGCACGTACTCAATCAAGAGGTCATAAATATCAAGAGCGTCATTACTCAGCATAACATGAATCAGTGGGATGGTAAAATCACTGTGGTGGTTGCTAACAAGCGTCACCATTTGCGAGCATTCCCCAAGTCGGGCGATCGCAATGCTGCTGACAAGAACGGTAACCCGCTGCCCGGTATTCTGATTGAGAAAGATGTGACCTCTCCACATGACTGGGATTTCCTCCTCTATTCGCATATTGCTCTGCAGGGAACTTCGCGGCCCGTTCATTATCATGTTATCCTCGACCAGATAGAGCACAAGCCCCATGAGCTTCAGAACATGATTTATGATCATTGTTACCAGTACATCCGGTCTACGACTTCGGTCTCCTTGTGTAAGTTGCCTTACTTCCATTTTGTGAGGTTTATAGTGCTGACATGTATGAAACATTAGACCCTGCCATTTACTATGCGCACCTTATCGCTAGTCGTGCCCGCAGCCACGAGGATGTTCCGGCCAGCTCTGGCCCACAGAGCGGTAACACGATCAAGCTCACGAATCCCAAGCCTAAGAACAGGCCAATTGACCCTAAGCTACTGCCAATCATCAACCGGAGGAACAGACTGCCCTGGCAGATGTGGTACATCTAGACAGAAGTTGGCGTAGTGGAGATATTGGTTGCTTTTTCTCTTTAGTATTTTACACAGCGATGTCCGGTACATCGTCTGATCTGCTTGCTATTGCCGTACTCGGATTGCGTCGGCTCAACACTGAAGTTCAGGTAGCATAACCCTTTGACTCTAACTTACCAGCCTTGATGGTAGGACGGTTTAGGTCGATAGGGATTGCAGGCCAGATCATTGGCGTACCGTACCATAGTCCTTGAGTTTCAATCAAGTTTTATTGCTTTACCAGTTGTGCACAAGAGCTCGTAGCCAGTAGGGCAATTAGTAGATCACCTCTGAATATTAAAAGATTTATCAGACTAGGTCGGTCACGGACAAGCCGGACAGTATAGGTCAGGTTAAGCCAACAAGCGGGTGCGCCAAACCTACCAATCAGCAAGCCAAGATGGAGAGATCGTACAAAGCCCAACAGAGAGCGCGCCACAAACATTGAACCACCACAAACCAAAAAATATAAGAAAATCGAAGGCGGTGTAGTTCACAAATAATAAGATGCAAATCTGAACCATCATACTAAACCACCCAGCCAGGAGCGTCGAGTATAGTAGAGTAAGTAAGGCTACCACTGATATTCGGAGGACTGAGGGTAGCTATCCACCTACCTATCTACGTATCTATACTACACCAGTAAAATATGAGGCTTGGACCTAGATTTTCTATTTTACATCTTGGCTTTATTTATGTTAATACTTTCATTACTTGTATTAATCACAGAAAAATGGGTGAAGGATGGGTATGTAGATGAAGGTATTGAGATAAGATGTGGTGAGATAGGATGCGATGCAGATGGTGGGGGCATTTGCGTGACAATGTATTATTGAATATGTAAAAATCCTGTTTCTATATGGAGCGGGTGTATTTAGTCTCTTACTATAGAGGGCTAGGATGGTTTAAAAAAGCTTCGGAGTACTTTTCGAGTTTGGTAAGTTGGTTAGGCATGAAATGGGATAGTGGGGTATGTGGGGATGTTGCACAGTAGTAAGTGTCTACGGTCGCAGAAGATAAGATGGCTGTTTTTGTTTGTTTCAAAACTTGTTTGGCCTTTGGGGATGTGTGGATGGATGTGTTTGTAGTTGTGGTTGATAGATCTGAGTGAGCTGAGCAGGGGTTAGGAATAAGATAGATAGATAGATAGTATATTCGGATGCAGTTGGGATGTGAGAGGATAGTAGATGGATAGGAATCATGCCATGTATGCATGCGTGCATGCTGCTGCTGCTGCTGCATCTCGGAGGTAGATATCTAGGTGGTGCCTGTCTGTCGTCTGTGTTTGTGTTACCCTGCTAGCTAGTACTTACCGTCTTGATGGGATAACGTTACACGGTAGTACCAGATGAGCGTTTGTTTGTAAGATCTAAAATCGAGAATATTACAGAAGAATATAACCCCGTCTAGTCTAGAACAATCAGCAACGCACAAGCCAAGCCAAGAAAAAAGGCCGATGCAGACGCAGGCCAGATCGTAATGGAAGGAAATCATTAATCCCTGTCCTTAGTTTCAATCTACGTTGAACAGGTATATGCATGATCTTGTGTTACGGTATACAAGGCAAGTAAATTGAACAAGGATGCATCGTTTGTATTTGTGTATCTTCATTTAACTGTTTTTTTGTGTGTGGTTCCCCCTAATAGTTCCGTTCTCTTGTCGCACACGGGTAATGCTGGGATTAGATAGGACAAGAGGGGGCTCGAACTCGAAGTCGAACGCGAACTCAATGTGGGCTCGGGTAAAGGCAGGCAGCTGGAAAGAAAGAGCGCGACGCCACATATCGCACACTATATATCATCCAAGAGTGAAAACAGGCGATGAAAGAGAATGAGAAAACAAGTGAGATGGAAGAAGAAGTAACAAAAGTGGGTAAAAAAGGTAGATAAGACATAAGTGGTGGACGATATAATATACTGCAAAGAAGACATAGACGAAAGGAAAAAGGAAATAATAAAAGTGGTAGAAGAGGTAGAGGGGAATAATCATGGTATAGTGAGGTAGTACAGTGCGGGGGAATGAGTAGGACAGATCATATCATGACGCTTCATCTGCCGTTCCGTTTGGTAGGGCAGCAGCGCTGTCGTGGTTGGGGTTCTGGTCATCGTTTGAGGTCCCAGCTGGGGCTTGATGCTCAGCACCAGTCCCTTCTGGCGCGGTCGAGTTTTCCACCTCGCCCTTGATGGTTGCATCCTGGGCAGAGGGCTCGTCCGCTGAAGCGGCCGTAAACAACGATCCGTTCGACGGCTTGGTACCATCTACTCCAACGGCGGCGGCATCGTCTCCTTCAGCTGTCGCGTCGGGAGCGCCCAGGCTAGGCCCATTCTTCTTGATTTTCTTTTTACTCGGCTCCGACGTCCCAGACTTAGCGCCCGACTGCCCCGATGCGGAGGGTGGGAGGGGTCGCTTCTGGGGACTGGTGGTCACGCCGGAAGGAGCGGAAGGCGGCGGGATCTTGCCAGACGCGGGCAGACGGGGTCGCGCGGCCATGGGTCGTTGTTTCGGTGGTAGTTCAAGATCTTCGACCAAAGGCTCATTGTTGTTTGCTTGGAGCTTAGAGCTGAAGAATTCCTGAACCAACCCAATTTGCAAAGCGAGAGAGTCATTGGTGATGCGAGGGTAGGGAGCGGGCGGGGGGAAGAGAGTGACGGCTTGGGCAGCACTGCAAAAACCCATCAGTATCAAGCAAGCAATAGTCGATACAATAAGAGAAACATACCTGGTGTTCTGTGCCTGCGCAGCGTTGTACATCCTGTTCTGCAAGAGATGAAGTGGCACGCTGAGTGTGGCCAGACCAAATTCCTTGTCCAGCCCCAATTCCTTGAACCCGAAGAAGTCCTCATCAATATCTTCCGCAAAGTCACCGCCGATGAACTGTTCACTGCCATCGTGGAATGCGTTGGAGCCATCCTCCCCGCCATCTGCAAGCGCAGGTCGCAGGAGCTCGGACAGCAGCGAGCGCAGCCGGTCATGAGCTGTCGAAAGCTTCGTCCCGAGCCGCTCCACATCGTCCTTGATGTACGACTCCAAAGACTCTACATCGATGCCAACAGATGAGAGAGTGTGTAGTACAATCTCCGGCTCCGTGTACGCTCGCTTCCACTGAGCTGTACCCGTCGCCTCGGTCGCGTCGGTAGTCGGGACTTTCGGGGATTCCATGTACGACTTCAGGGTTTCGCCGATCTTCTGGAAGAAGTCGGAGGCAATATCAGTCACTGCATCCAGGGCCGAAGGCTGATACTCCTCAAAGCCAGTGTGGTAGAAGATCTTCGCCACGGAACGCTGCAAGGCCGCTTTGCAAACCCAAGGAGCAATGACAGGACCCCCGTCGTTCATCACATGTGGTGACACATCCTGCTCGACGAAGGGTTCCGGCTGGTATTTCTGGAACTGATTCTGGTACATCTTTGGAGGGTTAGACAAGGGAAATTATGATTCGAAAGATCGCTTACCTGAGACTGCAGTTGCATCTGCTTGACGATGCCGATCTTCGAGCAGACCTTTCGCGTCTCCTGCATTTGGCGCATGTTTGCATCCATTTTGCGAGCCAGCTTACTATCTGGTTGAGTGAATGAGCCTTGCGGGAGGATCCTCAAAAACTCTTCGGACGCATCCACAATGTTGCCGTCTGAGTCTTCCTTCCAGAGTAGCTGAGAGGGTAGATCGGGAACCCCTGACATGACATCGTAATAGTCGGGGATCACTCGATCCTCATCCACTTCAATGCCTTCTGCGAGCGTTTCACCCGCGGCGCCAGGTTCCATGCCTTGTCCGGTTGACTCGCGCGCCTTGTCGTTCTCTGCAAGATTATGCTTTTGGTTTCTGATCCACCGCCGCATGCCCGCTTTAGTACGGAGCAATGCTGGCTCATCGGAGTTGAGCTTGTCACCTTTGAAGAGACGATGCCTCTCTGCGGCAATGAGGGCGCGATCCTTCTTCGTCACCTGTTTCCATACTTTGTATTCGGGATCTTCGGAATCCACACCAGACGCGGGCAATGCGCTCAGCGCGGTGCTTGTCGGGACTAACCCATCAATGTCCATAGCATCACCTTGGCTTCCAGGTACACCAGAGCTGACGCCCGCAGGGTCAGATGGCGTTTGTGTGCCAGGCGGCGGCGTTACAAGCCCGTTCTGAGTCCCCTCCATTACAACATCAGAATCCGAACGAACCGGCCCCGGAGGCTGAGAGCTCTGACCAGGAGGCTCCGATCCGCTGGGAGTATTTCGAACAGGCGCAGTGCCTTTCTTCGATGATGACTTGCCGGGGGCCTTGCGACCACGGGACGACATGATCGGTTCGTCGTCACTCTCTTCGGCGCCGTCCATTTCGGCCATCTGCAGTCGGCGCTCTTCTGCTTCGACCTCGGCGCGGTCTCGGATGACGATGTCTGGTATCAGAGGGACGAGCTTCTCCGTCTCCTTCTTCATGTATAAAGCATGCTTGCGCAAGAAGTGTTCTGGGTTGGTGTTGTATTTGAAGCAATTCGACCATATTAAATTGATGTCATCGACAAATTCCTGCTTCGACTTGTATTGCAGCGCTTTCAGCTTCTTCGTCATGGTTCCTAGATCCATCGGATGTTTGATAACTAGCGCAGGGAGTCAGCAACAAGACACACGGCGTGGTTCTTCGTCCGTCAGGGTATCTTACTTGTATAGTAGTCAGGCGCATCGCGCTTATTCACCCGAGTCAAGAAGGCGCTTGAATGCTCAGTCATCGCCTTGAGCTCACTAAGCACTTTCTCTGCAGCTTCATACAGCTCTTCTTGGCCAATCTTGTCCTCACTAGCCCACTTACTACGGTTCTTACGAACCTCGCTCATCAGGCTTCGGAGTTCCGCGTCAGATGCTTGGACCAAACTCCGCTTCATATCAATTCTTGCGATCAGGTTCTTGAGGGTCAGGCTCGAGGCGCCCAGGTTCGCGTTACTCAGCGACCCATAGCCATTGGAGGTTGGGTTCGCATTGTTGCCCGCATTCGCCTGGCCCGACATTTCCGCTTCTACCTGTCGCTCCGACTCTTCTAGCCGCTGCTGGTCCAACATGGCATCTCTATCATTCTCTAAAGTATAAAAGAGTGTGTGGAAACTTCTCCTAGCAGCTTCCTCGGTCGCCTTCTTATCTTCCTCTAGCTTCTTGCGGATATCCTCCAAGGTCTCCTTCTTGGCCTCCTTCTGCGCATCGGGCCCGACCGACACGGAGCCGCTGGGCGGTCGGCTGGGCGATGGGAAGCTACTAGGTAGCTGAGAGGCAGCGAGAGACTTGGGCTTGGGAGGAGATGCGGCTTCAGTATCCTCAGCGTCATCTTCGTCGTCATACTCATCGTAGTCATCGTCATCTAACTTCCTGGCGGGCTTCTTGGGGGGCGCCGGGGCCGGAGCGGGTTCGTCGGCGGCGCGTTGACTCTCGGGTTGGGACTCGTCGGAATCGTTGGCAGGGCGGGCATCTTCGGCAGCTTTCTGGTTGGCAAAGAGAGCATTTATTTGCGCCTCACTGCGTTTGTACAGATCCCGGAACATGGCGATGCGCGGGTCCTCGTCGCCTGCAATATCGGCATCTGATATCAGACCGCCCGCGTGAGACCCGTCGGCGTCGGCCGAAGCGCGCATCTGGGGAGTTCGCGAACCGGAAAAGGATTTGGGATAGCCATTGACAGACCGCGCATCATGGAAATCATCCGGCGGGCGCAGATGACCTGGGGGGAGCCAGGCGTGGTGGTGTCCGAGCGACATGCTCGCTCCAAGACCCCGGTTCTGGGGCGGGCGAGGGGGGCTCGTTTCTCCACGGTCCGGATCAGTTCCAGCTAGGGTACAAGGGAGCCTTTTGAGACGCTGAAAAAGACATATACATTAGGGGACAGGGGTCAAGAAATGAGGGACGATGATTTGGAGACCCCAAGTGATGGAATAGTGGGGGATTTGATGGGGGACTGGAGGGCTTCTTTATAAGGTTCTCTGCGCGAACGGATGAGATGAAGTTGGTTGCGTGAAGGCGGAACGGCGACCGCAGCTTCAGACCAACCGCGCAATTCGTTGACTCCAGCAGTAGCAAAGCAACTAACAAAGTAACTAGTAGTAGTAAGTAGTAGTTGTGAAGGGAAGATATAGTAATAGTAATGCGACAGACAACACTATGAGAAAAAAGGAATGAGCCGACCAAAAGTGAATCCGCATTAATATTAAATAATAGAATAAAATCAAACAAGGCGAGCAATAACCCGTTCAATGAATTGAACTTGGAACGGGGGAACAAGCAACACTCAGCCTCGATGGGGACAAGAAAAGAAGAAGAATGGCAGGGAGTTTCCCGAGGATGTTTCAACCACAATCAAACCCAGTTTCAGCCTGAGGCTGCGCCGTCTCTGGCTGTCTGTCAGTATCGTAAAGTAACTAAACCACATGACATGCCATCATCTTACATCGCTTCATCATCCAGTCTTTCCCTCTTCCGGCCTTTTCTTTTCCTCCCTCTACGCCCTCCTCTCTCTACACTCCCCTCCCCGTAACTATCTCCTTCCAGATCGCCCATCATGCGAATCCGATACCCTTTCGCGGGTATGTCTTTTCCCCCGATCTTCCCCATCCATTGAGCTCTTCCCACCCGTTTCCACCCTCTTCCGAAGCCAAAAGTGAAGCTCTATGATACCTAATCATCCGATTACATCCAAGAGCTTCACCAGCTTCACCACACCACACCAACTAATACCAAAATAACATCATAATCTGTACCACTAACAACACTCTCATCAGGCGCCTTTCTTTTCCTCCTCATCCTCGCCGCCTACATCGGCCTCCTCCCGCACAGCACATCATCCACTCTTCCGTCCCAACTCCAACCCAATGACAAGTTCCTCCATGTCGTCACCTTCTTCCTCCTCTCCCTCGTCTTCTACTGGATCTTCGACACCACCCGTCGTCGCACCCTCCACCTAACCCTCATCGTCTGCACTCTCGTCCTCGGCATCGGCTCCGAAATCATCCAAGGTCTCCTCCCCAACGGCAGGTCCTTCGATGCATTCGACCTTCTCGCCAACATCGTCGGCAGTCTCGGCGCCGTCGGCCTTTGCGGCTGGTACCACCGGCGCATGCTTGACCGGCGACGCAAGGCGCGCTTCGGCTCCCTGGGCGGCGACGGCACAGAGAATGATGTCGAACTCGGAGTGACGGGCCACCACAGCGACGAGGAGGAGGGTCTTGGACCCCAGGAGACAGGTGTTATGAGTCTAGAGCAGGAGGTAGATAACTGGGATGAGAATGCTGTTGATAATTGGGATGAGGAGGACGAGTCTGGAGATTTGGCCGTCGATACCTCCAAGAGGACGTCGCCCGCTGAAGATGGGAAGAAGCGGAGTGATTAAGTCGCAATCTAGCTAGCTAGATCTCTGGCTCCTTGCGCCTTAGCTAGCTATCTACTATCCATCTATCATGCCTTCCACGTCTCTTGGACTGTGTGAACTCCGCTTCATCCAGCAGAATGGCATCGCTGCCCACCATGTGATTGTGACGTATACGCTCACTCGGCGTTGATGCATTCTACACCACACCACCACCTTGTCGCTCTCTACCACGCTTACCATACACTCTCTATCTGCTAATCGCCCTCCCCCGCGACACCACGATATAATCCCAACCCATCCTCCATATGATAGGGAAGACTATTCGTACCCACGCCCGCTTCGATGATTGCTACGCTACGCAGAAAAGAAAGGCAACGAAACGAAAGTGAAAAAGGAAAAAGTTACCATACCCATTTATCTATTTACACCCCTACTACTACTACTCTCGCTACGACCGTGTCATGAACCCGACCCGTTATCTACCGGCGTTTTGAGTTGATCCGTTACATTCTGTTCTGCTTTTCTTATTTCTCTATATCTTCCGCGTCTCTCCTCTACGAACCCTGCTTATCTAGCTATCTCTATTCTTATTACTCCTCCTGGTTCTGGTTCTGGTTTTTGCTCTATAAACCCTCCGAGGGAATTATGATGTACATAGGATAACAGAGATGAGGAGGGTGGGAGTTTTCATAAGAACGCTATGATTTATATTGAGTGATTGATTGCTTAGGTGGTAGGTAGTATTCTGGTAGGGTGTGTAAGAGAGGACCTTTCAGGGCACGTGTATGAACAGATGCATCGTTATTCATTTCCAGGCAGATCCACAAGTCCAGTATGGTACACCAGTTCTAATGCTAGGGGGAAAACAGAATGAAAGCTGAAAAGAGATAATCGCGTGGGAGTAAGCACATCAGCTTCGGATGACCATGCCCAGGACGGTTTGCTTGTGAAAATGTAAGCATCCCGGGCACTGAAGGAATAAAAGCATCAGGTCGTATACTGAAACATAGTATGCAGGGTGGCGCAAAGGACAAAGAATGCATGTTGACGATGCAGGTCAGAACTCGTGACTAGTCATGGCAAAAAGAAAAAAACGACAAACATGGCAAAAGAAAAACATCAATAGGCGATTAGAATGTTATATATGTACGAGGGAAGGTAATATAATAATGTTGTCTGAGACGGGAACCGGTCGTCCCTAGCCTCATTCGTTATCGGAAACCTCGGGGGTGCCCGACCAGCTCCGGGTAGGAGTAGATCGGTGATCTTCAGCAGGTTCGAGCTCAGGTTTGGAGGATGGTCGGTAGCTGTCGTCGGTTGACAACTTGGCCATCTTCGTTGACCTCTCATCCGACTTGCGCCCGCTGGGCACGGCAGTCTTTCCGAGCTTGAGATCGGTCTGCTCCCGTAGGACTTCGTATATAAACTGGAGTTGCATCTCATTATAGACCATCATCATTCGCTGCTCGCGCATTTGGTTGACCGTTTCGAAGACAGGGTCGATGTCGGGGTCAGTCGCCTCTAGTAACTGGCCGGACTCGAGCTCCTGCAAAAGATGGTCCAGCGCGATAAACGTGCCTGTCCGGCCGACACCAGCACTGCAGTGCACAATGCGGGGGTTAGCAGGGGTGCATTTCGAACCGGACAGTTTGATCAACTGAAGGAGCGCATCGCGGTCATCGCCCTCGGGCTTGGAATAGTCCGCCCAACCGGCGAACAGAAAATGCCAGACAATCTTCGACTCGGTGCCGAGGGTGAGCCGAAGTTTGCGGATTTCCGAGCGAGAGGTGGAATCCCATTGAGTCTCGAGCAGTGTAACATAGCCTACAAGGTCCTCATCGGCTTGCTGGTGATGGTTATCGTTCATGAACGGGTCTTGCTCACGTCGCAGGGGCATCGTGGCGTTTTCGCGGTCCAGTGGGAAGTACTGGGCACATTTCTCTCTGCCCGCCTCAAATGTCTGCGTGAGCATGACGATGACGCCTACATCCTCACTTTCATGGAACACCATGTGCCAAAAGTGGGATAGCTGGTCCGGCTTCGGTCCCTACATAGCAGCGGATTAGCAATTATCCTTCAACCCTCGGCAGAATATATGCGCCCACCTGCGTCGCGATATACCGTCGCTCCTCCTGCGAGACTGAGTCTTCGAGGACAATCGGCGATGCGTTAATAAAATCGCATTCCCCTTCTGGCACCCGCAGATGGATGCGGGAGTTGGCCCATGCCTGCACGTTCACGTATCGGTTTCTTGCCCTGACCTCGGGGTCTCCCTCTAGCGCCCAACGGTGTGAGGGGTCGTTGGCTAGCATCCCCTCGTGTATCCGAGTCCGCTGCATCCATTCGAGTTCCTCGAATTTTTGATGGATTTCTATCACAAGACAGATATATTAGTCAGGCTGTAGGCCATATTTAGAGAGGTGCAACGCCTTCAACTGCGCCCGAAACGACTGGGAGACCCAGAAGCAGCAAGCGGGGTGAAGTGCCAGGCGGGCGCATACTGACCTAGGACCGACTGGCAGAGAAATGGAGGAACAGATTCATTATCGCGCGCTTCCAGGCCAGGATCGTCGTTCTCCGGACCATCTATAATCTCGAAGCCATCGTCATTATCCTCGGGAAGCGACCGCTTGGTCGCTTGTACGCTGGTATCGATCTTGATGGTGGGATGAGCCATCTTGGCCGCAGCGATCCTCTGGAAGGCCCGAACCTTGCCCAGGACGCCGCGCGCCTTCTTCGAGACCCGCTTCTTAGTCGCTGCGAGTTTTCGGGGACCGCTGCGTAGACTGAAGGTATCGGGGGAGGGCGAGCGGGAGGTTGGGGCAGTGATGACTTCCCCCTCGATGCCGTCGGGCGGATCCTCGTGCGCGCCGTTGGGGGGATGCGGCAGGGATGATATCTGTAGCGTGGACAGATCGGGACAGCTGTGGAAGCTGCCCCTCGACGTAATATTATGCTTGGCCAGATTTCTGGATCTCACGGGAACAACGCGCGGCCGAATAGGAAGACTGCCTGGCAGTCGATAATATGGAAGATGACTCGGCCGGCAGACAAGACCCGACAGCCAACTTCTTCGTGTAGCCCACAACCCCTGCAACGTGTAGAATAAAAAAAACAGAGAGGAAAGAAAAATATTGGACGAACACGGAGAACCACCGGGTCAGTGAAAATGAAGTAATAACCTCGTCAACAAAATGCGACCCGGGGGAAACAGCAGGCGAGAGGGTCCGGCCAGCAGCAGGAAAAGAAGGAGAGTATTTGATGCAAGACCCCCTCGCGACACCGTTTGGCAATTGCTGTTCTCCCCGCACTCTCTCGTCTTTTGGGGTCTTTTAACCTCAGGACGTGGCCAGCAGTCCAATCAGTCAAGTCATTAAATAGATTAGAACAATGAGGTTGTTAAGGAGAGTGGATTTGGAGTAATAGAATAAGTATGGGTTATACAAGGAAGAGAAAAGAAGCAGAATTGGGCACCCAAGAAAAAAAAATATTATAAAAGGCGATGTTTCTCTGGCAGGTTGGCAGAGTTTGTATGTATCGAAAAAGAAGAGATCCTTCTCATTCCTGGTAATTTTCTTTTTCTTCTGATTTATTCGGGGTCCAGACGGTATGGATCCCTTCAGGAGATTATTAGTATTATTATTATGATTTTTATTACTCCTAC